GTTTTACCCAAGTTTTGTTCATTGGTTTTTTTTTTCTGCTTTGAGCCTGAATCCTGAAGCATAACTGAATTACAGAAATCCAGACAAAAACAAAACTTCCTGTGGACCCAGTGAAACATCTGACCTCCAATGAATCCAAACTGCCAGATTTCACAGCTTGAGCTGTAACCCAGCTGCACAGAATCAAAGTGGACTACTGTAGCAATTTGAGAAGTTTCAAGGGTGCAGATTATTTAGTATTTCAGCATATGTTCAGCCAATTGCCTCCCCAAAAATGAAAAAAACCCACAAAGTCCAAATCTTCCTGCACAATTGGAAATTGTGCCAAAGTCTATATGATTGGGGTGGTGGAGGATTCCTCACTGTGCCAGCAAGCTCCACCTTCACTAGCCTGGCCTGTTCCACACCTTTGCTATTGTAAGGTATTGGCTTAAAGCACAGGTCAATTGTGCTTATAGACTCATAGAAATATCCTGTAAAAACTAGACTGGTTGCTAATCAGTGAACTATTGTGGTCAAACTACACTCTGTCACAATGCTGGAATAGGACCATTTCAGTCTTTCAAATGACATACGGCATTTTCAAAATGATGATTCTTTAAGCTGAAAGTCTTGTTTTGAACCTCAAGATCTGTAACAAAGCAGAGGCAAAATATGTACAATTCACATCAACATGTTCATAGGTATAAATTGGAAGGTGAGCTATATAGATGTAAACAGCGCACCCAGTGAGAGATGAGCTGCTTCATCATTGTTCTTGTATGTGCTGTACTGGTACAATGGGCCCTGGTATTTGGTAAATACTAATGGAAATAGTCAGCAATGTCACACTTCACTGTCCAGCTGGAACTGGAGGATTCCCTACTTGCTTAAAGAAATATATACTGAAATAGATCTTAATATTATTATATGGTTGAAGGGCTAAATACCTCTCTCCTTAGTATTTTTCTAGAGTATTTTCACTGAAGGCAATAGACATGTTACTGTTGTAGCTGAGGGGCCACTTGGCTTAGACTTTCCAGACATCCCAACCAAGGCTTTGCTTTAACGAGAAAGAATGCTGTGTTCTATGGCTCCCAGCTCAGTTAGCTGGGGTATTTTAATATCCTTATGCCTGATTAAGAGTCCAGGTAACAGACAGAGCTGGTTGAACTTCTCTCAGTTTCAAAACGTAGGAAAAATAATTAAACAGAAGAAAAATGACAACTTTTTTTTTAACACCTCTTCCTCACCCACTGTGGTTAATTACGAAGCACTTTCCTTCTTCAAATTTGAAAGATCAAAACAACCAAGAATACATTATTCCACAATTTCATAGATCTTCTTTCTTTTAAACATAGAACTGTAGAACTCTAGAAAGGAACTTTATGTTTCCTACCATGATTTAAGTTTCTCTGCCCAAGGCATGAAAACATAATGTTTAATAGTGATTGCAAACAATAACTTACGTTATCTTGGCTTCAGCATCTCCTTTCAGCTCTTCATGCTAGAGAAAAATCTTTGGTACTCAAAGATCACATAGTAACATCCTAGTTCCAGTGAAGGCTCCAGTAAAACCCCAATAAAGTCAGTTACACTTATTGGTAATAGGGTTTAGCATCTATATTTGGCATAAATATGCCCAACCTATATCTGCAGGGGTCTTTTTGTAACCTTTTTTTTTTTAATCTAACTATTCAACAAGGCAATGTCCAAGTTGTAAAGAACCTATTAAGCACTGCCAATCCTATTACCATCATTGTGATGAACACAAGTGCAGTAGGAGCCATCTGACAACAGGCAGCAGGGCAAGCTCTAGTCTTCCTAAGTAATTCTGCCCACAAAAGTGTAGAACAATCTTTTCATCCTTGTTTTGCAAGTGGAATGGTACTTTTGACTTCAGAAACATGTAAACTGTCACTGCCTGAAACATCACACTGAGCCTTGTCATGTCCATTTATATGAGACTGATTGTGTAGTACTAATCTACAGGCTTTGAAACTGCTTCAATTCCTAAATCCAGTTGAAGACTGAAAAGTGCTTGATAGAGTGCTTTAACTTAGAAGAATTCTTTTGCAACCAAAGCAAACAGGATTAGTACACATGGCTTCCTGTAAGGGAGCTCTGGATCTCCCTTGCGCTGACAGAGCACCCTTGTCATCTTTCCTCCCGCTGGCACCTCTTGATTTGGAAAGTAAAGAGATCAATAGGTTTATAACAGTATCTTTTTAGTCTGGCCCTAATAAAATATCTGTTGAACTCTCTGTATTACGAGACTGTGCTTCAGGGCCTTCTAGTTCATCTGTAAAACATGTTCTGGACAACATTTTCTGATAGGAAAGTGTGCTGAAGACAGTGGAAGGCTTTCTAATCAATTCCAGTGGCTCTGGATCAGATTATAAAATTTTACTCTTTTGTTTTTTCTTCCTTTTTTGCTGTCCAAATCCTAACTCCCTCTCTAAATATATTCTACTATTAAAAAAAGTTATAGATAACCCAAATCTCAGATGATCACTGTAATCAAGGGTTTACAGATAGTTTGACTGTCATTTCAAGTGACTACTTTAAAAATTAAAAGCTACAAGCTGCTAGAGTTTAAACAATCTTGTGGTCTTTATGCAGGTACTTTCACCTGTGTGTACAAATGGCTTTTACCTTCCTCTGCATTTACTGAGAGTACAGACAACCACCAGTTCCTTTGTATTCAGAGAAGCAGACTCTTCTTCTCTGGCAGCTGGGAGGTGCAGGCAGGATGGAAAAGCAGGGTCTTATACTCAGTGCTTTTTCCAAACGTACGTGTCCTCATGATCCAGTTTGTAAGGGCAATGGAGAACCATCTTGTATGCTGCAATTCGTCTACAGAGCTGAGAGAAGGGTTTTGCTGCTGGGGAAAATGCCTGGCAGGTTGCAGTGCTTGGGAGTTTTGCTCATTCATTGTGGAAGTGTGCTAAGTCCCTCAGAAAGAATTCTGTCCTGGGACATGAAAGCATGAGTGACTGAATCACACAAAAGCCCTGCTTTTGAAAGGTGGTGTGCTCATTTTGATTGAGCTGAACACTTAGTTCTCCATGCAGCCATTCTGCAAACACAACCGGGTGTTCTTGCGCTTGGTTCTCCAAGAGGAAGACCTGTGCAGAACCCAGGAGCACACACTGACAGCACTGTGATCAGCTAATAGTAGCCACTGGCATGCAAAGGTTGCTCTGATATTAGTACGGCTGCTCCCAGTGTTTACATAAAGGTTGAGCGGCTAAGCATTGCCCTGGGAAGTGTAAGATCTATTCCCTAGGCCTTCCTCACGCTGAGGAAGATCAAAGCCACATTGTGCAAGGAAACACTGCAAGCACCACACTGCAGGCTCTGTCCAAAGTGGAGGCAGCCTTGACACTTCATGCGAGAGCTGGGCCAGTTTATAGAAAGGGTTCATAAATCTAGGCACAGAGAAAACAAGGGTAAATGAAGTGGGTATGGGTAGGCAGAGACTAATCATGCTGAGAACAGCTCAGGTACCAAAAGTAGCATAGCAATGATACTTCTCAGCAGAGGTCTTTAGCTCATGTGGAGCAATGTCCTGAAGACCCCACAAAAAGTGAGCTCAGATAGTCCTTTTTGGTACTGTACTGTATGGAGAAGATACTCACAGAGAGAGCCAGGATTTCAGAAACAATTCTCTATGGAGCATTCTCTGCTCCTTCATTGAGGTGTCTTGCCCCTCACTTAGTACTCTGTCTCCAATGAATTCCCTTCCTAACCATGATTATCGAATTCTGTTACCAGAGTTGAGTGTGTTTGTGTGTGTGCCTTAGTCTTCTTCCTGCCTGTATGGTCTCTTAACACAGTGCTTTGTAAATAACAGCAAAGGCTTTGGCTTGCAACATTTTTCAAATCATGTTTAGCACAGAGCGAAAGCATCTTTGACAGCTTTACAGAGTGAATTTTGAGTTACAATAGACTTTTACATTGCTATAGTTTAAAAAGTTAATGGTATACAGTTTAAGAACTGCCTGCCTAGATAGTAACGTGGCAGATTTTAAGAGGCTTTAAGCCTCTCATATGTAAACAGTACTAATGAAAAAAAAATTATTTCAAGCTTTTTTCTTTTTATGTAAGGGGAAACCCTGCAAAGATGGCAAATGTATATCTTTAATTTTTCCATCACTTCATAGAAAGGCAGCAAAACATACAGAAGAAAAGCCTTTCTCTCTAGCTAATTTCCCAAACGTACTTTGAGTTACCAACCACATTTGAGAGGCTCCTGGAACTTCTTTGTACAGTGAGAAAGTGCTGAAACAGAAAAAGCATTGAGCAGAATATGCAATGACTTTGTCACAGTTATGGGCATCAAACACAGGGTTTTCAGACACAATCCTTTATCCTGCAGATGTTTCAGCTCAGTGTGTTCATCAGCGCATTGCCCCAGGAAATTGCCTTTCTGATCAAAAGTGTCTGTGTGTGCTCCCCTTGCACATACCAAACACAGTCTTTCCAGGACAACTACTAGTTTGAATACATAGGAGCTAGCAGAGCTGCAGAGAGTTGAAACATTGCAGTGGTGCACCTTGACTCATTAGAGATGCTGTATTTCTAATAAGCAAAAATTTTCATTGTTGCAAGTAACATTAAGCACTGATGATGTGTGTAATAATGCAACCTGTGCCTCTCTGTTTAATGCTTTCCCTTGGGAAACCGCTTCCTTTTGAGATATTGGGACATACGTTCTCGAACAGCCATGGTAACATCTAATTTTTCCTTTCAGCTTGCTGTATATAAAATCAGTCAGTGAATGATAATTTTCTTGGTACTATAGACATGGGGCCATATTCTCTCCTGGCATTCTATCTTTTACTTCAGTGAAATCATGTTAGAAGAAAATATAAGTTTTTACCTCTGTATTTTCCCTTCTGCGAGAACAAACTGTGACCACGGTGTAAAGCTGGCTGAGTGTTGTTTCCTTCTTTACCAGAAAACATCTTTCCTTCTTCACCAAAGTGATCAGTGAATTTGTACCTCTTCTTTTTCAGATGCTCACCTTGTGCCAGTTTGCATCTGAGTTTTGAAGATGCGGAGGACCAATAGCTCCTGCGAACTTTACTGACTGGGAGACTAGGAGGACTCAGCATTGCGAATCCATCTGTGGGTGAGCACTCAAAAATGGAGTTTCCAGAAACCTGTGTTCTGAGGAGCTCTTCAGCCTTGGTAATCAGACTTCTAGCTACAGGCTGTCCCCTGTCAGTCTGATGATTAAGAACTGAACAGCTGGGCCTGGGTTCACCCACTTAGCTCTGGGCATTTACCTGAGACATCAGGTTCATTGTTCAATGCCTAGAAAGTCACTGCTATAGGGAAGGTTGTTCAGTGGCAGGCAGAATCTCCCTCTCCCTCTCTCCTCATTGGCATCCCAGATTAGTGCCTAACATTAGTGAAATGACTCTACTTTCATACTGTGTCAGGGAAAATGAATTTGTGGCAAGGAAACACAAGGAGGTGCACAAGTTGGACCACCACTTGTGGTAAGAGGACCAGTGGGTCCATACCCCCTGGAGAGGCTGCAAGGAGAATGCAGAAGGATTGAATCCTTCTTCCCAGGGTCCTCAGCTAGCATTCTTCCAACCTAGATAAGCAACTAGAGGGAAATATGAGGAAACGGAGTATTTCTTTGGCTTGCAAAAGGGAAAGGAGGAATAAAGTGTGATTCTCCAGCCTGATGTTTCCTAGAGCAGTTAGATGTGGCCATAATTCAATCTAGTGCTCACTCATTAGTTCTACAAAGCATTTGCACTTCTAATCTGAAATTGGATTTGGTAAATCTGACATGTTCTACTGTGGACCAGAAGGGAAGTTCATTACAGAAATTGCAAGACTAAGGCCTTTTTAGCTCATAACAAACCTTTGGATTTTGTTAATCGGGTACATTTCGTCATTTACATTGATGATAAACATTTGACAAATAATCAGCTCTGGGAGGAATATGATTCACTGCTGCAATCTGGGTTTGGGCTATTAATAACAATAATAATGTTTGGCACTGGTATACCCAGTGTAAGCAAAAGACAGGACAGACTTCCCAAGCACTAGCTGACTGAATGTGGTTTTCGGTGCCCAATTGAGAAGGGTTTGCCGGGGACAGGCCTGCTGGGATCAATAGGGCATGGAAAAACATGAGCAGAGACTTGGTACAAGTTTGTCATGGTGTTTGAGGATGGATTACTGGGCTTGATAGGATTTCTCCCATTTTATTTCTCTCAGATGGATTTAATTTAAGACTTTGAGCTTTTCAATGCAGTGCTGTTAAGGGATTCAATTTTTGAAGTGAAATTTGAGTAGGGTTCTGTCTAAACTATGTTGAAAATTTTGTCTTCATATTTTCTCTACCAGAAAAGTATGCATATTTTTAGGTAGTGCTTTCATTTTTTTTCTTTCACGAAAGGTATCTATTTTCTTTTAAAAGTAAAAGAGGTTTGTTTTCATTTTAAGAATGAAAACCTGCAAACCTGAAACGTTTGTTTTGCTTGCAAATCCCACTCCCTCCTGTAGTAATCAGAGCTTAGCTGTTTGAACTTTCACTATTTTCAGGGAGGTGGGAAGGAAGAATAAGGACAGAGCAGTTTCTAAAACCTTCTGATACTTGTGACCTTTTCAAAGTTATGCTCCTGTCTTGGATAGGTATGTGTGTGACTTTATTGCAAACCTGTCTTTGGTCCAGAAACATAACTGTTTGCAGTGAAAGTAATTCCCGTCGGGTCCATTTCTGCACTTCTGGGTGGTTGTTACTTTTCCTACAGTTAATATACTGTGAACCAACATGATTTCCTTTCTAACTCAGTTATGCAAAGGTCCAGACAAGATTAAGAGCTTTGACTGACAGCAGAGCAACTCTTCCATTAAACAAATGTGAATCACTCACATACATGAGAGCCCTTATCCTCTTGAACAGAAGCAGGTATTCACTGACTTGTGCATTGGTGCAGTGTTTCATTTTTATGGGTGGTTGCTTAAATGGTGCGGCTGAGACCTGCATATCCTGCTGGTGGAACATGATAGGTCTCAGAGGGCAGCAGAGGTTATGTGCCGTTTTGATGATTTTATTCAGTTTGATTCCTAGGTTTTCAAAGCTGCAGCCCAGCCCTTTTCTGAAATCTTTCTGATAGCTGCATCATTGCAAAGAACTATCTCCAACATTTTATTCATATATTTACTACTTTATTGAAAAACTGTTTTTCTTTCAGGTATACCTGTTTGGAATGAAAATACTATTTTTGTAATGCGCTTGACTGTTTTTCATTTTGCGTGGATACAAAGTTTGGGCTCTCTTTTCATCTTTTGTATTGCAAGTTGTAATATATTTGATTGATAGATATTATTACTATGGTTACTTTTATTTTATACTGTAGATTTTATTTGTGAGAGTAGTATCAAGCTCTGCCCTCATTCAGCCTACTTTGTTTATTACTGTGTATTGTTTTTCTTTTTCCCACTGCTTTCCTTGAAAACAAGCTTGCCACAAAATAAGGAGCTCCTCATGTCTGTAAATCCACTATGTTCACTGCTGCCACCTGACAGAGAGAAGAATTTTGTGTACTGGAATACCAAGAAATTTTGCTGCCCGTAAGAGTTTAGAAATGAAATTCATGCAGAGAGTTTCCATCTTATGACATGTTTTTTTTCTCTCCTTAATTTTAAAGACTCTTCATTTAAAAAAAAAAATCTTGCTGGGCAAGTCACAGTGATTTATTTGCATGCTGCAGGCTGATTTAGGATGCTTATTCGATCAGTCTGCTTCTAATGACACTAGAAATACTGTAATGGATGGAACATTCCTGGCCAGTTCTAAATTGGATTAGATGGTTTACTAATGTAATACAGGCAAACCAAATCAGCCTGTGATGCTGTGGGGATTAATCTATAGGGAATATTTGATCTCTAATGCCCATGTGCTAGCTGAAGTGCAGTCATATCTTTTGATTTAATAAAGCATTTTTTTATTTCCCAGTGGCATGTGTGTGTTTGAGCTGGATGAGCTAATTGGTAGAATTACCCTTTTTAACGGAAACTTCATAACTTACTGCTAAATGGAAGGATCCTAAGTACCTCAGTCTGAAAAGATTTGGCTGTTGTTCACACAATTTCTCTTTGATAATTTAAGCTAAAGGACCACACTCGGATTTGGTGTTCTCTGTTACGAGAACAAACTAGCGATGTTGATATACGCTGTGAAACATTCATTCATTGCTGAACTGAGAAGTCATAAAAGGTACATATCTCTGTGAGTCCAGTATATTAGATCTCATTTTATTCTGTTCATCACATGATTCCATTAAAAAGTAACCCTGGCTATACGGATATTTACAAATTAAAGATCAAAGAAATGATTAGGAAATAGGTTGAGTAACAGATTGCAAAGTACTCTATTCTTGGGTGTTATTTGTTAGCACTGAGCTGTTTGCTGAGGTGTCCAACCTTTGACTGCGAGATGGCTTGTGTGGGTAGCAAACACAGAGGAACAGGAGGAGGAGTAATGAGAACTGCAGAATTACAAAGCCAAGATTTCCCCTCTGCTTAGGTGTGTGCATCTTAGTGCACTTGTATTAACAGATAGCTTTTACTGAAGGCAATGTAAAATGTCTCCATTAGGCCCAAGTAATTTTACTGTTAAATAACTCATCCTGTACCCACTGAAATCCACTGTAGCTTTGTCACTGATTTTGATAGCAGCAGAGGAAATCTTTTGGTGATGTTCATAAATTAATACATATACATATATATGTCTGTGTGTTTGTACCTATATTTCTCCTGGGTATAACTGCCTAATTCCTGTAGTCATGGCATAATCTACAGAGACATAGACTAAACAAAATCTTTACCTTTCCCTTTGCCCTCCGATTTAGCTTGTTCTGTGGCCAATATTTCAGACTTCCGCACGTGGCATAAACAGGAAAAAGTGCCTACCGCAATATGTTTTACTTTCTTCTACACTTGTGGAATTTTCCTCACCAAATTACACATTCCACACCTCTCAGAGAGATGCATCTTTCCCCCTCCCAGAACTATGACAGATCCTAAACTGAATACTCTGACTAACACCTGAGTTTGACGCACTTAAGAATGGACAAATTCCACAAGACAGTTGGGATTAGCTGTCTTCCAGTAATTTGTTTTCAAGTATGTACCACACAAAGCATGTTTTTCTTACCTTGGCCATTCACAAAATATCAGACCATAAAATAGTGGCGTTCTTATATATAGGAAAATGATTTTAGATCTTTTTCATGGGTTTAAAGAATTGATTATTGCTAGTATTTCTATCATTCCATGGCCTCTTCATAGTAAGTAAGTAAATCTATTTTTTGAGAAGTTCTTTGAAAAACAGTACCGTCAAAACAATAAGACTCCTACAATTTTTTCCAAAAATCTTTTCCGAGAAGCGGCATAAGCGGAAGTAAGAGAGCATTTGTTGGACTGTGTCAGAAGTTTTGGATGACTTACGCAATCTCTGTATACCTGGTATCAAAATGTGAATCAGTACACTCCTGCAGTACGTCACTCTGCACCAGAGCTTGATTCTTCTCCCACGGGTTTGCTGGTAATTAGGATGGGTTTTCAGGTACTTTGCTTCAAATGGCAATCTATCAAATATATCAAACAACAAAAATCATGCCATGTGTTTAGCTTCCCAACTGGGAAGGTGGCAAGAGAAGTTCAATCTTCTCACTGCTACACTGAAAATTTTACTTCCCACCAAATCTCCAAGTATTACGATATCAGCTAGAAGGAAGCGTGGCATTCTGTGTTACATTCAAAGTGTTCTTGCTTGCTAGAGTTGCGTATCCTTCATTAAACCAGGTGTCCTCAGCTCACATATTTAAAATAGAATATTTTTCCCTGTTACATGAGTCAGCATGTGATGTATACATATTTCTCGTAGGTTCCTCTGAAAGTCTTGTCACACTGTAATGTTAGATATCTCTGTTTCTCACTTTATCTTGGTGTGTAGGCCAGAATCTCTCTATGCAATGGTTTGGGTGTGTGAGGACACAGAGCGTTACGGAAACACTTCCAGAGATTGTTTCCTTTGGCTATTTTGGTCAATCTTAATTTTTTTTTTTCCCTCTGGGAGCTTTCTGAAAGATATGGCCAGCT